CCTAACTTCCTCATCCTTCCCCAAGAGGCACAGTTATAAACTAATTCTGGGGTAATTGCATTAGCTTCGGAAACTTAGGCCATTAACAATTACAGTCTGTAGCTGATATGTCTTTAGCACTGGCTCACTTGTACTGTCAACAGAGAGAATCGTAGCCATTAATAGCATCTCCAGATACATTGCCTCCAAGTTCTTCCTTGGGCACCTCAAAGCCCCTGATCTTCATATAGTAACCTCCGGAGGTGTCCTTCGCCAAGGTAGACATCTTGTCGTCGTCCTTGTCTTTCACTACCACTCGTATAATGTACACTTCATTTACCTTATCCTTTTCCAGCATTTCATCGCTGGACATATTCACTTTGTCCTTGTCTATCACTTCCTTGTAAATTTCATCCACTCTGTCTTGGTTTAGCACTTCCTCTTTAAACACTTTGCTCGTTTCTCTTTTTCGCAGTCTTTCACTACTACCATTCCTTAAAAGATTTTCTTGCACTACAATATTTGAGGCCTTTGTAATTGACCTAGAACTACTTCTCTCACTTGGACTATTGCTACTCTTACGTCGAATTGGTGTTCTAAAAGAGTTGTTACTGTGTATGCTATCATTAAAACTGCTAATGTCTCTGGAAAACTTACTTGACACCTTTTCTCTCATTCTGTCTCCACTCTGAGAATAACTAAGATTAGGTAGACTAAGAGGAGCTTCACTTCGAGGAATGTTCCTATTCCTCCATGTATAATCACAGATCTCAGAGTAGTGGTTTTCGCACTCTTCCTCTTCCTCCTCATTCTCTGGTATTGGACTGATGTCGTCAATAACACGAGAATAGTCCATGTTTTCTATGGACCTTGTTGTCACGAAGCTGCTTTCACTTTCAGCTTTTTTCTCTATGTGTTTGGAACTTTTGCCGTTCTGCAGGACATAAGTATTTTGCTTCGAGACTTTCCTGTGGTCCGAGTTTTTCTTGTTTTCCAAGCTTGGGTCTTTCACTGGGTACCCATTGTAGCTGTTACTCCTGTCGTGGTAAGTGAACTTTGTTTTCTCTACGCTGTTCTCTCTAATCCTGAAGTCTCTAAATCTGTGCTCTCTGCTTTTATCCCTGGTCTTTTCTTTATTGGTTTGTGACGATCTACTCTCCCTGGAGTTGTCACGGTCTCGACCTTTCTTCTTGTCATGATCGGACAGGAACGACAAACTAAGAGGTCGGACACTCGTTAGTGGTTCCACAAACTTGTCGCTCAGTGACCGGGTCAATGACCTTGACCTCTTCTCAGTCACGTGGTGAGTAACCTGCAACCAGAGCGCTTAAATTAGATTTCGATTCATATTAAAAGGTACAGTTATTAGTTAACTTGCACAAAAATTTAGAATACTATAATTACAAGTTTACTTGTTTCCACTGTAGATAATGAGGGACATGGCCAAAAGTCGACGGCACATTACTTCTGAAGACCCAAAATAAATGGAGAGAGGAGTAAGCACATATAGTGAAGTGTCCACTAGCATCAAGTACTGATATAAACACTCGAAAAAGAGCCCTTATGGATAAAGACCGTCTTGCAAGCAACGAAGACATTTAATGAAAATGGAAGATTAAGTAACTTGCAACAACATAAGAGTAGGCAGAATACTACAGGATTTTAAAAAGAAGCATAATGCTGCAGGATATTGCAAGACTTCACCGAGCTGCAACGTAAGACTTAGAAGCAACAGCATGGACGTAAGTATGACCATTATTTTAACCAAAGAAACTTAGATAAGAAGAACACAAGAAATATTTATTCAGATGATTTACAATCACAAATATAGCAGTTCAGTTAGAGGACTTACAAGTAGAAGAAGAAGATAAGTCATGCACTAGAGGATCCAGTCGACCCCCACCTTGATCTGCCTTCTCCAGGCGTCGGCCTCGTCCTCACAATAGGAGACGGTCTTCAGGAAGATGGGCGTCTTGGGGAACATCGGGTCCTTAACGGGCGTCAAGACAAAGTTGGACGACACGTCGATCTCGAAGAGAGTAGCTTGAGCCTCGTTGGTCATGGTGCAGGCCAGGATCACTGCCTCTTTCTGTGCCTGCTCCAGTCTCAGCACACCTGAGGTAGTGAGACAACTCACAGTTAAGCAACCACCTAATACCTCACAAACTAAATATAAAATACTGACAATCACAAAGTTAATTATAATTACACTTTAAATGAGCCACATATAAGGGGGCCACCTACCAGTAAAGCTACAAGGAACCACCTACCAGTCAAACTACAAGCGACCACCTACCAGTCAAACTGCAAGCGACTACCTACCAATAAAGCTACAAAAAAACAAACACCTACCAGTAAAGCTACAAGGGACACGAGGCATGTAGCCACATACAAGGCGGACGGTGATGGGTAACTTGTGGTTCTTGAGAATGTGAGCCATCAAGTACACGTGGCTCGGGTTCTTGCTCGCTTTGTGCGCCGTCGTATAGAACCGACCAGAGGCTGAAAACGGCAAGAACACAACCTGAAAAAAAATGCAAGTTAGCAAATATGGCACAACGGCTGGGACAATTTTGCCAAACAGGCAAACTTAAGTTTAGTGTGTGCTTACCTACGCTTCCTCGAATTAGACCTTAATACCTCCCTATCTCTGTGCTGTATGACCCTTGAAGGGTTAAGCACTTTCCCGTGACTATAATACACAGAGCTGTATGTCCCACACTGGTTTGACGATTGAATTTATACAGGGTAATAATGTATAGAATATTAACCTTCAGGGTTTCCTAGATGTCTGAGGGTTCTTAATACAAATAAATTGGAGCTAAACACTCTTGTTGGATCGAACCTGATAGCCTACCCGTCTCAAGGCACTGTATAGTCCCTATGGATTTAGCGCTCTCAAACCACAGTACGGGTGGGGATCGAACTCACGGCAAGCAAGTCGTAAAACTCCAGGTCAGTCCGTGAGCCACTGGTTCTCCCCATGATTGTAATAAATATATGGAACTTTAGCCCCCCGTGTCCCTTTCAAACAGTTGACCATATCCACGTAATACTCATTTGTATATCAACTGTAGTATACAAATAAAAGTATGTTAATAAGACACAATATGTAGTATCGTCCACCAGAGACGTTTCGTCCACCAGGGACGAAACGTCTCAATAAATGCTATAAACCACATAGTGTTTTATTCACATATACTTGTTGCTGTCCCACGTGTAATGATGTACGTATACACAATTATAAACTTGATAATGTATTTAAATGTTTTTATCTCTATTGTATAATGGTAGGTAATCAGACTTGATCCAAGATAGAGTACCTTCAATTATTTAAAATCAAGAGCCCTTCACCAGCATTAAGGCACACACCCCCTTCCTTCCTTGAAGGGTTTTATGTATTGAATAATCTACACGGTTTAAGCGTTTTTGTGTCAACACATTCTTTGATGAATGTGCAAAAAATAATTTCTAAACTCGTGTGTCAATTGTTATATTAGAAAAGTGTTTTAAAGAGCTGATCGCTTATATTAAACAACACATGCACAACACAGAGGTAGGTCGACTATATTTCGTTTATTTGGAACTAACAATATTTTAAGAATTTTTAAAATACCTATATTGCTACTATTAAGTTTTTATAGCGAAAATATTAAAAGTATTTTAATGAAACCATATATTTAAATTTTTATCTTAGCGCTGGTACGCACAAGTCAGAAACCTTTTATTACCAATAAATTTTATGATGAACGTAAAAATAGTTGACGTGAGTTACATACCACGCCATCTATGACACTCGACCTCACCTCCTGCCTTGAATGTATTGTCTCCTCTGTCCATTGTGTACTCTCCTGAAGACGTAATAAACGAAAACTTAAATTTAACATATAATATTATATATATATATATATATATATATATATATATATATATATATATATATATATATATATATATAAAATCACAGGACAAGTTTCATTTTATTATGAAATATAACCACAGTGACGTAATAAAATTACAAGCACTTTCGTATTCTCTCACATTTCTTGAGAATGATTGAGAGATCAAGAAAACACTTAGAATTTTATTACCATTAACTGTGGGTATAATGCATATTAATATATCACTTGTGTCTTCTATCTTAGTGCTTATATGTGTGTGCGTTTCACATCCCTGGGAAGTGTACAAAGCCTAACTAATCTTTTATAAACCAAACCAAGCCCTTGAGAGGTAAACTTAACTCTTGGGCAACAAATGCAAGAAGCTATTTAAACCAGATAAAACTCCTTAAAAAGCAAACACAGCGTTGTCGTTTAAAGTCAAGAACACTTTACCTCGTTCCTGTAATTGAGACACTGAGCAAACTTGTCGCAGTTGAAGACAGACATGGCATCGCGGCCCCGGCCTCCACTGTTGGTCTTCCTGGCGTTGAGGTCCTCGAAGATGCCCAGGAGCTTGAGGACGTGGCCGCTCTGCACCACCGTCTTCTGGTACGACACTCTACCATCCTCTGGCAGGAGAAAACAACATAACGTTGTGAGTCACGTTCTTTACCTTTCCATGTGCATGTAGAGGCTTTGGATGCTAGTGAAGCACGTCTCATCTAAGAAAGGGAAGCTGTCCTCCTTAGATCCAACCTGATTAAAATCTATTTACCTGGCGCTAATATCCGAAATGGATACAACTGTACACTAACATCAAGGATAATGTAATTCCTGAAATGTGGCGAATTCTGTATAACTACACCCCCCTCATGGAAGGTTCCTTGACGCTTGTGAGGGGCTCATGATCCAAGGAACTGGATCTGTGCTCCAGTTCTCTGAATTAAACCTTAATACTTTCCAAATCCCCCCACAAGCGCTGTATAATCCTACGGGTTTATCGCTTCCCCGTTGATTATAAAAATATAACTACACTGACATGTGTGTCCTTACCACTGTATATACACACTTGTGAATATAAATCAAGATGCACAAATGTATACATAGTTATCGAAATAAACAATGAAAAACATATAACAGTGATATACACTGTTGCGTGTTATTCACTACGATATATTTGTATAATGATAGTGGTATATATTGTTAAAGAATGTACTATATTATATTATACACACACTAATGTATAGTGCATAACAATATAGTACGTTCTTTAGCAGTGTATACCACTATCAGTAAATAAGTGTATATCGTAGTGGTATGTACAACTAGGTGTACAGTTATAGTGTTATATACTGTGATATACATTGTTATATAGTGAGGAAGAGCAGTGCCAAGAAAGTCACAATGCTGGCACCACAGGAAGGTGAGGTGGGTACCTGGACATCAGTATAAAAGCTCTTTTAATCAAGGAATCGGAACTATCCTCCACTTCCTTGAATCAAACCTGGCTACCAACTTCGCCCTCATTCCAGGTGTTGTATGACTGATACAGGTTTAGCGCCCCGCCCCTACCATTACATGTTCAACTCTATAACGAAATCAATCACAAATGAAACGCACATTATATACATACATATTATCAGCTTACCTTTCCAGAAATCAACCTATCATGCAGGGAAGCAACCAGTCTATCAGCTAGAGAATCAACCTACCTTCCTTGGTCCTGGTATAAGCAGGAACGTCGTGACGAGTGAGGAAGAAAGATATCTTAGTGTTGGCCACTTGTTCCACTGTGGAGAAATAAGTGGCAGTGTGGCCGTCGTTCGTAATGATGGCGAACCAACCTGTTAAGGCAAGAGTTGGAGAGGATGAACCAGTCAGTAATAATAACCTGTATAGGTAATAGCAATATTAGCAGTAATAATGCTCGGTAAAATATATAATAATAATGAACATTTGGAAGTATAAACAGACTAATTACAATCGTAATTTTACGGTTTCCTTTTATTATTAAAATTGATGTTTTGTTGCAAGACTGTTTTAGAGCAATAAAGTTACTGTAAAACATCTTTTATTCTCCTTAACGAGTGTTATATTAAGTTTATAACTCTTAATAATATAATTATAATAGTGAATATACAAAGTGCATAACTCGGCTGTTTGATGGGTTACACCAGAACAATAAAGGGGTTGGGGTAGGTGGTGGTGTGTACTCACCAGTGTAGGCCTCTGGGATGACAATTGCTGGACCCACGGGAGTCAGGCCTCCGTCCCTACCAGGCTTCAACGACACGCCTCTCACCTGCAAGTACCAGGTCACACCAGGTCACTCCCACCACACTCAACACCAGGTCACGTGTAATTTTGCACGTGCCACTCGGAACAGAAAAGGTCATGTATTAGGTCAGGTCAGAGGTCGCACAAGAAATACTGGTCAAGAGAATTATTCAATTAGGTCAACACAGGTCATCTGCACTTCCAAGTTCAACAACAATTCAAGGAGGGTGCCCTGATGATGAAGTGCTCTTGATCCAAGTAACTAGAGCTACCCCCCCTCCTTGAATCAAACCTGATTACCTCCCACTGCCCTGGTACTGTATGACTCCTTCCGAGTTTGGCGCTTCCCCGTCATTATATGAATCACGTTTAAGGTCGTACATGTGTGTAAAAAAAGGAAGTCGTGAATGAAGTATTAAAGCCAGTGAAGGTCGTTCCTCTATCATTCAGGTCAGTAAAGGTCGTTCTGAAACCCATCGCGTCAATGGTCGTACAGGCGCTACTCAATTTTGGAAAGGTCGTACTTTCGTAAGTCTGGAGACAAACATTCAGGTTAGAAAAGGTCATACATGAGCCAGTCAAGTGAGATAAGATCGTGAGGGAGCCGCTAGGGTCAGGAAAGGTCGTATAATAGTCACTCAAGTTACAGGTCAATTTTTTAACGCGCCTGCTGTCTCCCACCGAGATCTGGTGACCTTCCCCTCCCCACCCCCCTCAAAAAAAAAAAAAAGACATCAGCGTCATTCAATCGCTGTCTTGCCAATAGCGTGCTGGCATCACAGCTCAGATGACCCTCCGAACTACATCCTAACGTCATGTGGGATAGAAATATCTTACTGCTAAGAATAGCCAAGAAAATACAAAAATGTAGAAAGAGGTTTGGGCCAATGTCTCTGTCTTTCAAAATTTTTAACATGTCAAAAAAAGCTACAAATCGCGCGTGCGTGCGCACACACACAGGGATGTTAAGAAGTATTTCTTCAGTCATAGAATTGTCAGGAAGTGGAATAGTCTAGCAAGTGATGTAGTGGAGGAAGGAACCATACATAGCTTTAAGACGAGGTATGACAAAGCTCAGGGAGCATGACTTAAGAATCGTATGACACGATTGCAATAACCATAACCGGCGGGATTGAACCGCGGTATAGAGTCAATCCAGTCCCGTCCGTAACCACTAGACCAGCTACCCATAAGTTCACAATAGGTTATTTAGGGGCAGAGAGGACAACGTATTTGAAGGGGAGGAGTGGTTGATGAACGCAAGGTGGTAACAACGTATGATCGGGAGAGAAGTGTTGAGGAAGGAACAAGACGATCTGTCTGAGTACTAGGAGCACAGCGCTAAATAAAATGTTATACTCTGTTCTTGTACAACTTTTACCGTTAAGAATGTCTTTGCAATACTATAAATATGATGTGTCAGTGGTTTGGCGTATATGGGTAGTGGAGGTCTGGAAGGTTCCAAGGGACCGAGCTGTAATGCCACACGCTAGTATGTGAATATACTGTTGTTGTTAAGTTATTGACGATATTGGGTCCCTCTATTGTCTTTCAGGAGCTGTGTGAACAAATTCCGTCGAGTTTCTGCTCTAGGCTTTTTTCTTGGCGTTCGTTGACTCTGGAGACTAACATTTTTTGTATGTTTTGCTGTACGTTCATTGAGTTTGCCATAGAAGCTAAGTCCCATTTTTCTTGCCTTATGAAAAGCTTCCTTGACATCAAAGAAGTTTTTCATACGCTAGAAAAAATGGCACTTGGCCTCCTTGGTAAACTCTCAGACGATGGGTGGAACACGTATGACTATCAGTCTCCAGTGTCAACGAACACACACACACACACACACACACACACACACACACACAAAAAAAAAAAAAAAAAAAAAAAAAAAAAAAAAAAAAACGGAAAACTGGACCGAATCTGCTCAACTAAGCACCCGGGAGCAGAGTGACCCAAGAGCGTGTTCAGGTATTCATTCAAGTATCTGAACATGCGAGAAAGGATGGCATGGTCACATACCTGAGCGAGTGTGACATCTGCAGCTCTCCTGGAACCATCCAGACCTCAACTACTTATATGCCAAACAACTGACACACACACACACACACACCATCATATTACAGGGGCATTATGAACAGTAAAAAAGTTGTACAGGAAGAGTGCAAACATATCAAAGAAACCAGACAGCATTTCAACCTAGTCCCGTATCTCTCCTGCAGTACTCTGGACCCATAATTCATCAAATTCCAAACTATTTCATTCGCCTCACCGCTTCCTCTCCTACTAGTATAGTATAATATATATATCTTCTCCTACTAGAATATTATAAATATACATATCCGTGGAATTTGTATTCTGTATGACTTGAAGATCTTAACAGATCGAAAAATTATCCCAATAAAAATTCTTTTTGCAAACGTGTATTTTCTTCACTCGTATAAGGTCATGGAAGGGAAGGTCGTACATTGGCTCTCAGTGAACCGGTCAAGCAAGAGGTCAGGGAGAACAATGCCATATGACAAACAGCTGGAACTAATTTAATGTTTATTGTCATCCTCATCTGGCTTATTAGCCTATCTTGGGTTAAATATCCCTAAATTATGACCACGGAATACTTATAATAATTTTTACTCGACAACATAGGTGAAAACAAAGACGGGAATAACATCTGTAAATTTAACATAAAGCCAAATTATTTACACTAACGAGATTTAATTATGAATTTAACCGTTTATATATATATTATATAAACAAAGGGATGAAATTCCTAACGACCAGCGGGTATTTACACCGAGATGTGTATTTTTATTACGTATATATATACTGAGTTTATATTAACGCCTATTTTAGGAATTAAAGTATGCTTGTCATGGTTGTGTACAAGTGACTTGAAGCCTGAATGACCCTTTTGTAGTCAATAAGTTTTAAACTTGATAAACGAACCAAACAAGGTCATGTATACATCAAACGTGTATACATATTATATCTAGTGAGATACGTTAATCCCTGCCTTCGGTATTAAACTATTCTGGATTGGTGAAGTGTCTTAATGACCCTTGTGTAGTCAATAGGCTTTAACCTTATCAAACCAGCCTAACAAATCCTAACTAAACTTAACTAATCAACCATTCTGAGTGCACAGTTAACTTGTATAAATATAGTTTAAATTACCTAACACGTTACCGTTGAGGGTTAACAAGGAGGCACTGACTGACTGCACATTCCAAGAATAGTTCCAAAGAAAGGTACTATGACAGCCTATCAAAAAAAAAAATATTAATGCAATGTATATAGGTGAAAATGATTCAGGACTAAATAATTACAACTATAACATTTAATGATGGAAACAAAGAAGTACTTTTAAGAAAAAACTTTCATAATGTCAAATTTTCTAAGTACGTTATGCTGTTTACTTATATAGGTTCCACACGGGTACAAATAGGTGTAGTAGGTGAACTTACCTTTGTAGAGTTATAGGTGTTGTAGAGAAGTAGTGGGCGTGAGAGGTCTAGACCAGGCGGGGCTGTGGGTGTGTGCAGGTGGGCAGCGGTGGGCAGCTTGTGTCGCTTTAAGAGGCTTTTGGGCGTGAGGGCCATACCCACAGGTACTAAGTGTGGGCCCAGACCCGACCCACGCCCCACCGACGACCCAGACGAATGGGTGGACATCCCTAGACAGTGGGCGTCCCAGTGGGCGGGGTGATCACTACTACACTCACACACACACACACAGGGGCGTCTAGCCTACCAGGAGAGGACAAACATCACTCACATTCTCGTTATACAAGACAATAATCGCAGTTCTTATTCTCAGCCTTGACCTGTCCCTGGTGGTCGAGGAAGGAACGACCTGGCTGGTAGGTCACAGGCTGTGGTGTGGGCGTGCGGGCGTGCTGCCAGCCTCTTCTTGCTTAGCGGTGACTTGAGACCCTCGTCCACCTTCCTCACCAACTCATACTACCCACTAAAATTTAACTTTTTTCACAAAAATTACGACTCTTGACTATCTCACTTTCATTGCCTCTCTTCTCAAGCACTTATTTTCTCCGTCAGAACGTATGGCAGAGCAAGAATGTAACATACACTTGACCAGTACACAGCACTATAAGGTTCAAGCAAGCTACACAGTACAAGGGTAGTGTACTTAGGTAGAGCGCAGCACAGCACGTCCACCCAGCGAGGCCGCTAGGCTACTACTGGGTTGCTTCTTGCCTCCTCTCTTGATCTTGGCCTGGAATCTGGAAAAAATAAAGAGGAATTATTGACCAACTGGGAGACACCAGTATTTCCCGTTGCAGCGCGTGGCTGCCACGCTGGTTATATTGCTCACCTGGGAACAGTATCCTCACTACTGCTATGCTCTAGTTCTTGACCCGCCACACCCTATCCCCGAGGTGATATACACTGTGAAGTGTATGTTTGCAGTGTATGTACACTGAAGAGTGTATTTCTAAGTGTTTATACAAACTGATAATGGCTTATTATAATATGCCATTATCAATGTGAATATACGGAGATAATTATCTCCGTATATTCACCGAGAAGTGTACATTTCTCGGCGTATATACATTTAGTGTATATTTCTCAGCGTATATACACTTAGAATGTATATTTTTGGCGCATATAAAATGAAAACATTCATATTTCAGGTGAATATGCACTAAGGGCGGCACACTTCCCTGTGCATGACACTGAAAAATACACAAATACACATACACACTGAGATGTATATTTCTCAGTGTATATACACCGAGAGTCTACTCTAACACCTGCTTTAGAAGTGAAAGTACCCAATACTGGTGGTGTACAGGTGACGGGAAGCTTTAATAAGGCTCAAATACGCCCTTAATGTTAAAATTCCTTATTATAAATATCCCTTATTATAAACATAATGCTACTAGCGTTTAAAAATTAAAATTTATTAAGTTATGAAGTTGTCAACGCAGCACTTGAAGTGGTTGTTAGGCTTTACCAGAAGAAAATCGGGGAAGGTAGCACTAGTTCCTTGGATCAAGAGTCCTTCCCCAGCATCAAGGTACCATCCTCCTCTGAAGGTTATCTGACCTCAGGAAGGACAGGTTCTTGTGTCTGGCAGGTGAGAAGGGCGTTGCCAGGGGTAGCGGGGACTGATCGTACCTGGGAAGATTAGACACGTTGCAAAACGATTTTTTTTTTGAGACAACGTTTTGCTCTATGTAAGGCGAAACGTTGTACCAACCTAAGGTTGTTCTGTAACGTATGTGTGTGTGAGAGCAGTACATCTGGATAGTAGCTCCGTCACTCACTACTAATGGCTACCGAGTGACGCAACTCTGTACGTCACAGTAGCTCCGTCACTCAGTACTAGTGGCTACTGAGTGACGCAACTCTGTACGTCGCAGTAGCTCCGTCACTCAGTATTAGTGGCTACTGAGTGACGCAACTCTGTACGTCACAGTACCCACGTCACTCAGTACTAGTAGCTACTGACTGACGCAACACTGCTCCTACTACCACTCACCGGAACTTCCCTCCACGGAGAGAGGAAAAGACTTCCGGCACTGACATACCAAGATACAGGACCTGACACACCTTGTGAAGGTCTATCCACACGTATATTCATTTGGAAGCACTAAACCCACAAGGTCATACAAAGCCTGAGATGTACGAGGCAAAAGATAGGGTATGTACACTGAAAGGTATGTACATATATCTCAGCGTATATCTACCTGGAGGGTGTTCCGGGGATCAACGCCCTCGCAGCCCGATCCATGACCAGGCCTCACGGTGGATCAGGGCCTTATCAACCAGGCTGTTACTGATGGTCACACGTAATCCAACGTACGAGCCAAAGCCCGGTTGATCTGACACTGATTTTAGGTATCTGCCCAGCTCGCTCTTGACGACATCCAGGGGTCTATTGGTAATTCCCCTTATGTATAATGGAACAGCCTTGGGCCCCCTGACACTGTTGTCTCTCAGTGTACTCATGGCACCCCCTGCTTTCATCGGGGTATGTTTCACTATCTGCTTAGTGTTTTGCTTTCATAGGGAGTGATTTCTGTGTGCAGATTCGGGACCAGTCCCTTTAGGGTTTCCCAGGTGTATATTATAATGCATCTTTCTCGTCTGCGCTCAAAGGAGTAGAGGTTTAATTTAATCCCTGTTTATAGGCATTCAAGTATTCTTGACAGGTGGTGAACAGGTTACACGCAGCTTAATGACCCTCGTATAGTCGAGAAGCTTCAAACCAGATCAACCAATCCGATTCCTCACATTAAGAGACCTTCACCAGCATGGTGGCACCTCGAAGGCCACAAGCAGTGCCAGGTGACTCAGACAGTGACTAACACAGGTAAGTCATGCAGGTGCTGGTCAACCAACACTCACCCATGACTATAAAGTTTTATGCCGAAGTCTTATACAGGGAAGTTCCAAGAAGCCATAAAACTTGCTGTTATGTGCGTTGGTAATGATACGTTTTGTCGTCTTCAAGGCTGTGAAGCAAGGAATGTCTGAGTTTTAGTGCCCTTCAAGGGTGATGGGGAGGAAGGGATGATGGATAAAGAGGGAATTGAAGCAGTTTTCCCCTTAGCTGAATCAAATCAGAAAACCTCCCATTTACTGTTTCATGGATCCTGCTGGTTTAGCGCTTTCCTATAACATAGTAATAATAAGTGTTAAGCTGCTGCAATAAAGGTTTAAGCTTCTGTAACAAAACTTTCGGCTGTAATAAAGCTTTAAACTTCTGTAATAAAGTGTTAAGCTGCTGTAATAGAGGTTCAAGCTTCTGTAACAAAGTTTTAGGCTGCTGTAATAAAGCTTTAAGCTTCTGTAACAGGATAACCCCAGAAAGTCAGTGCGTCATCGAGGACTGTCTTATTTCCATTGTGGTCCTTCAATCTCGTCTCCCAGGATGCCACCCACACCAGTCCACTAACACCCAGGTACCTACTTGCTTGCTAGATGAACGGGTGTAAGGAAACACGCCCAATTTTTTCACCCTTGCCGGGGATCGAACCACGGACACTCAGTGTGTGTGAAGCGAGAGTGTTACCTCAGCTTCACTCTCCACTCGTTCCCTGATTTGTTCATAACAACGTAAGAATATGACAACAGTTTTATAATAATAATAATAATAATAATAATAATAATAATAATAATAATCTTTATTTCTACAAGTACATGTACAAAGTATATAGGCCTAGCTGACATCAATGACATACTACTATATAGAAATCCCCTTGTTATACAGAGCATTTCGGTGATGTCACTGAAAGGGGTCAACACACAAACGTATAAGTCGTGTAACGCGCTTTTGCTGGGACTTCATCTGCGTACAGCTTTATGAAGTCAGGAGCTCTAAGAACATAAGAAGGAGCACTGCAGCACGCTTACTGGCCCATGCTAGGCAGGTTTATCGTGACCTGATAAAAGCTATATACAGAGCGAGACGTTACAGTGAAAAGTCGAAACACACGTTTCTCCTTCTGGACCGAAATGTCTTGTGGGTTAACTGTGAATTGCTGTAGCCACGGTACTGTAACTTGTGTTGTGAACTGTACCGGCCACTGTACTGTAACCTGAATTCCTGTGTACATTACCCTTGTTGTAGTGCCGCCAGATTCTACTGTCTGCTCCTTTCATCTCTTTTATTTATGTGTAGTCCTCATTTCGTTCGCTTGAGTGTTATCCCTCTCAGGGTGCTGGTGCTGATTGAGTGCTAACAACCAGCCTCATGCTTGAGGGAGAGTCGCCTCAGTGCATGACGGAATGTAGTGACTACCAGCCCTGCCCAGTTCTGTCTACCACCACTACTACCCCACACTCTCCCCTGCTCTCTCTCTCTCTCTCTCCTCTCTCTCTCTCTGTCTTCTCTCTGTCTCTCTCTGTCTCTGTCTCTGTCTCTCTCTCTCCTCTCTTTTTTTTTTTTTTTTTCTTTTTTTTTTTTTTTACACATGGGTTGACAAGGTTAAGATCCTAGCTTTATTGACAAGCTATTACGTTAAGGATTCCTAACTTACTGACAAGCTAAGAGCTGTCACTACATCACTCACTTTGAAAGCATTTCATTGTTTGGACATACAAGTAGGGAACAGGATGAAGTTGGAGCCATCTGTGGGCCAGCATTTTCATTTGATCAACTGACGTTATCTCGTTGACATCATTATGCTGAACGAATGTGTTCCATACTCGAGTCATCCTGGGTATGTATGATCTCAGATGGAGTGATGTTCTGGAGAAGGGTACAGCCAGAGTGAAGTTGCTGCTTTCTGCCCGTCTTGTGGCATAAAAGCTTGTTTCTCTCTCTCTCTCTCTCTCTCTCTCTCTCTCTCTCTCTTTCTCTCTCGCTCTCTCTCCCGCTCTCTGTCTGTCTCTACCCTTGCATGGCTTGTTCACCAGTGCACGACATGTCTAGCAAGAATAATAAATCACAATAACGTGGCTGCGCAACTCACAACTAACCTGCAGCGTGAAAGGACGGTCACTGTCAGGTCATAACCACTTGTGACATGAGAATCCTCCAGCAGGGACCGAAACGTCGTCATAAGGATCACGTGCAGGCAATATGTGAATCAACATGTATGTTTTTGTGACATCTACCTAGCCATGCATGTCTGACGTGCATGGCTACAACCTCTTTATCTGTGTAAGTCATATCTCTACCTGTGTAAGTCATGTCTACCTGTATAAGTCATATCTCTGTGTAAGTCATGTCTCTACCTGTCTAAGTCATGTCTACTTGTGTAAGTCATAACACTGGTTAATTGGCCCAACACACTCCAGTGACAATCTCAGCCTTCTTATGTAAAGAGTACACAACAGTGTTGAAAGTTTGATGCCGACCAGACGAGGCTTTCTCAAGGTATTACACGGTAACCAAAATCCAGAATAGTTGACAACTGACTGAGCAGAGGGCGCTTGCATACGGCAGGAGTTGCAAGAAACTCTGCATAGTTACATTGCAAAATTGTCAAAGTTTGAAGACGACCGGATGAAGCGTTCTGAAGCTATAAAGAAAAACTTGGCAAGAAAAGATCCAGAAAGTCACTGAGATGTATTCCTTCAAGGATACATGATGAAGCTTCAAGCCCAAGGATACATAACGAAGCTTTAAGCTCAAGGATACATAACGAAGCTTTAAGCTCAAGGATACATAACGAAGCTTTAAGCTCAAGGATACATAACAAAGCTTCAGGCTCAGGGATATATGACGAAGCTTCAAGCTCAGGGATACATAAAGAAGGTTCAAGCTCAG